AAATATATAGCTGTGTGCAAAGAAAAGAAACAAGAATATTTACATGATAAGCAACAATCCTTAGAAAATAACATTCATGACTCTAAACTATTTTGGTCAGAACTGAAAAGTCTAAGCAAACATCAAAAGACAAATAATATCAACATTAAGGATTGGTACATTTACTTTAAAGAATTATTTACTTTCACAGATACTGATCAGAGCCCTGAAAATCAGTTCCAGGAGTCACAAGATAATACTCAGACTCAAACAGATACTCAGTTTGCAAATGATATACTGGATTCCCCTATTACCAGAGATGAGATTTTAGAGAGTATACACCATCTTAAATGCAACAAATCACCAGGAATGGATCAGATTATTCCCGAGTTTTTTAAACGTTCCTCAGATATCATTGTACCTTACCTTGAACTTATATTTAATGTTATATTAGAAAATGGAACATTTCCAGATGCATGGTCAATAGGGATAATTGTGCCAATACATAAACAAGGTGATCTAAATAATATAAACAATTACACAGGTATTTCACTGCTAAGTATTTTTGGTAAACTATTCACAAACATAATAAATAAAAGGTTAGTGTTTTGGGCAGATACCCTCGACAAAATCAATGAAGAACAAGCTGGATTTAGAGAGGGCTATTCAACTATTGACAACATTTTTATCCTTCAAGTTTTAGTTAACAAATACCTCAGTGTCAAGGGTGGGAAACTTTATGTGCTCTTCGTTGACTTTGCCAAGGCATTTGACTCAGTGCAGAGACATAAACTATGGAACCTTTTAAGATCACATGGCCTCAGCTTTAAGATGAACAAACTATTGGGTAGCATTTACGAGAATATTAAGGTGTGTGTGCGAAACAATAATGAGATTTCAGAAACATTTATTAGTCAGTTAGGAGTAAGACAAGGATGCATCTTAAGCCCATTTCTCTTTACTTTTTTCATAAATGAACTGGCTGTGCAAATAAATACCAACTGTAATTATGGTGTTCAGCTCCATCCAGATATTACAAAGATATTTTTACTTTTATTTGCAGATGATATTGCTCTCTTTTCGTCAACAATCAAAGGACTGCAGTGTCAAATTAATGAACTTGTAAGTTACTGCAATAAATGGAAGCTAACAGTTAACATGAGTAAAACAAAAGTTTTGGTATTTAAGAATGGAGGTCATTTAGCAAGTAAAGAATATTGGTCCTTCAAAGGACAAAAAATAGAAACTACAGGATTTTATAAATATCTGGGTGTTTACTTCAGTAGAAACTTGTCATGGCATAAACATTTGTATCAAGCTGCTTTACAAGCAAGAAAGGTCTTTGTAAGTATCCATAAGAGTTTGAAAGTTTTAGAAACCATTTCTCATCAATCTTTTTTTTAAATATTTGATATAAAGATACTCCCCATTTTGTTGTATGGGGCAGAAGTCTGGGGTTTACAGCACTTTGATGCCATAGAAAGGATTCATTTATATGTTTGCAAAAAGTATTTAGGTGTTAAAATAAACACTTCCAGCTTGGTGGTGTATGGGGAATGTGGAAGATTCCCTCTCTATGTATATTCAAATATAAAAGTTATTAAATACTGGCTGAGACTCATTGACATGCCCTCATATGGATTGCCAAAAAAGTGTTATAATATGATGATAGTTTATGATAATAATGGGAAAAGAAACTGGGTTACAGGTGTTAGAGAATTACTTTTCAGTTGTGGCTTTGGTGATATTTGGCAAAACCAAAATGTGTATTCCAAACCAATGTTTATACTTTCATTAACCCAGAGATTAAAGGATATTTATTTACAATCTTGGACTGCATCATTGACTCTAACAAACAAATGCTTTTATTACAAAATGTTTAAATCAGAAATAATTATGTAAGATTATTTATCAAAAGTTAATGTTAAAAAATTTCGAACGGCTCTTTCACGTTTTAGATGTTCTTCTCACGACCTTTTAATAGAAACAGGGCGCTATGTAAACATTCCTCGTGAAGAATGAATCTGTAATCTATGTAGTTTAAACTCAGTAGAAGATGAATTTCATTTCTTACTTGTATGTCCAGTGTATTTACACCTTAGAGAAAAATACCTGCAAGCTTATTATTACAGGTACCCTAATATTATTAAATTTGTTACATTGCTGTCAAACACAAAAAGAAGTATCTTACAAAATGTGCCCATGTTCATATATTATGCCTCTTTATACCAACAGAACCTTATGAAAGAATAATCTTAGCTGCTTGGTATTAGGAAACTATTGTGTATATACATTAAGTACATATTTATAGATATTTGCCATCTGAATAAACTACAAACAAAAGAGTTAGAAATGGTATTAAACTACTAGGCTGTCATATGATATTGTGGGACGTGATATTACAAATGGTTAAGTGTAGTTATATGTATATGAAATGATATGATGTGACATGACATGATGTGATATGATATGAAGTGATGTGGTGTGATATGATACATGAGGGGATATGATGCAATATATTATGTGTATTATAGAAATTGTGTAAATACTTTTTTTTAGTGTACATATTATATGGCTTGCGGTCTTCCAGTGTTGAATAAATATTGATTAATTGATATGAAATAAATTGGCATGGAATGACATGGCATTATATGGTATGATATGATAAGATATGATGGGACAAGCTATGACATTGCTAATGTGCTGTGTGATATGACATGTTGAAATGTGATACAATATAGTTGTGATATATGGTACGATGGTATGTATAGTATGTTATGATAATGTTATATGAAATAATACTATATAGTATGATCTTATAATAATGATACAATATGATATGATGTTATAGAATATGTTGTATGATATAACAAGTTGTGATATGGTAATATAGAAATTATGAAATTACAGGGTATGGTATTGTACTGAATGTGTGAAATTATGTGACTGCGTTGAAATGCAAGGTGGAATGACGTGAGGTGATCTGGTGAGATATGTACATAAACTGTATAAAACTGTATATTCTTCAACTTGTACTATAGGCCTGTGGCCTCTTCAGTATGTGAAATAAAGATTAGATATATTAAGGAACATCGCATCATAATAGAATAAATAAGTTGTCATCCATAAAATATCTTGTCTTCACAGCTACTTATCAAATTCTAAAAATGCCAATCTGAGTGCAAATATAGTATTCAAAACTTTGAAAGCGGCGCGTTAATATGGTAAATTTTCACTTTAGTCCTGTCTATCAAATTCTAGATAGAGGATAGAGGTCCCATATATGATCTCAGTTTGAGGTCCTCCAAAAGTACAGACTTGATCTAAAGACGTATATAGATATATGTCTTTGCTTGAGCCTGCAACAACCTCGGCCCCTCCGTTCGCGGTCCTAGTCGACTACACACGTTTCGCGGAACCTCAATGCTTGACCAAAATTAGATGGGTAATAAGAAAATAGCGTAAAACAGGCGAAATCGTCCCCAAAACGAACAAAAGTCATCAGAAGATGACAATCCCTCGGCCCCCACAGATTCGAAAGCACAAATCATCTGACTGTCACATTAAGTCAAACTTGATGAGAGTATTTCTCTCTAATCTGTCTGTCCGTATACAAGAGTAGTGGAATTCCATGGAATTGGGATTCTGAACTTTGTTTTTCTATGTCAGATACACACCAATATGAACAGTCAAAATCAAAGTTGTTGCCATGGAAACATAATTCTTCTTTTTTCTAAACACCCCTAAGTAGCAAAAGGCAAACTGGTCTTTTTGTGTGCAAAGTGTCATGAAAGAATACCTATCAGTTTTGGAGATATGGTCTGGACAAACACACGTCATATTCACAACCTTTACATTATACTCCATTTAAAACATTGTAAATTTAAACCTGATAGCAACTCAATGCAGTGCGTCTGGTTTAACAAATACTGAGGAAACTTCAATGGTCTGTTGTAAAGTGGATATCCTCGCCATATGTTACTAATTACTTTATAACGTCACTGACGTGGTTGCTGCACACTAATGAGGCAATGCTGGTAATAAAACGCAGTTATTTTACCAAACCATTGAAATAAATGCTAATTTTTTGTCAATATGGTAATCTTCCATTTATCTAATCCCGAACAAGCAGAAGCGTATGAAACAGGATCAATCTTATCCTTGCCACACGATTGGTTTGTTGGTTAGTTTGTTGTTGCACTCAGCAATATTCCAGCTATATGACGGCGGTCTGTAAATAATCGAGTCTGGACCAGACAATCCAGTGATTAATATCATGAGTATCGATCCACGCAATTGGGATCGATGACATGCATCAACCAAGTCCCGTTAGTCGCCTTTTACTACAAGCATAGTCGTCTTTTACGGCAAGCATGGGTTTCTGAAGACCTATTCTACCCCGGAATCTTCACGGGTCTGCCACACACGATGTCAAGGGTAATGGAATCATGTCATCCATGAACGACATTTACGATTATTTCACACGTTAGAAAATACATGAAAACGATGGCCATGTTCACAGACCTCCGTCATATATGTTCAAAGTGACTTAAAAGTTCTTTGTTTCATGACCTGCGAAATATATTTCAATTTAGTTTGGCGGCTAAATTATACCTACATTTCAAACGTTTGTCATATAGGCCTCGGATGACACGTTGATTTCCAAACATGCATAAATGTGGGAACCACTGTCGCTTCGTGTGATGTAATGTGTGATGGTTTTGTCTTTTGATGTCCTAATGGTGAGTACAAATACAAACTTTCCATGTGAAGCAGCCAAACTTTGGATGACAGTTGGTTGGGACAGAATAAGTTTTTTTCAATTCTGTTTCCTGTTTTTCAGCTGGTGCATTCAACAAGTGACAACATCACACACAGAACAGGAGGGAAAGTTTACTGTTCCGTTACACGACTGCAGCAGACGTAGATTTAGGTGTGAATCCACTATGCGTGACATTATCATTTTGCAGCCGTGTCAACTCTATTACACTCCCATATAACATATTCACACCCGCCTTACATTGAGTCTATTGTCCTGTTCACACTTATACTGTATAAAATATGCATTCGAAAACAACTAAATCATATCACTTGGAACAGCCCCGCACATGGTAAGTAAATTGGTACAGATGTTCTTCCATTTTCTTATCTTATGTTCGTTAATACATGTAAGTTATGATTGTCCATCGACTAAAACGTGTTCTCTGTAACATTCTTTTAGTGTTGGTAAAACGTTACATCAAGGAGGTGAGGTGAAATGGGGTTTTGCGTCGCGTCCAAGATTATTGCACTTATATAGCGACGTGCATGTGTGTGTGTGTTTGTGTGGCTGCCTGTACTAGTCCGGACTGATGCCGATTTATAGTGCTAGCTCACTGAGATACCATGCCGCAGTTTAACATGAAAAACCCCACTCAGACACAGTATACTGACTCCGAGCCGACCAGTCCTTGTTTTAGCCCCTTAATGCCGAGCGCCAGACTGGGTAACAACAAGTACCATCTTTTACAGTCCGTTTGACTCCAAATGAGAACGACGAATTGCAAAATAACTCGAAATCCAGAAAAGTGTATGAAACATCAATACGGTACTTGACCATGAATAACCTGTACCCAACAAAATCTGATTTTTTTTTTTTTAAGACCCATGTAGGATGAAGTTCTTTAAGAAACTATCATGTAATTTTGTATAGAAATGTGGGGGGGGGGGGGGGGGGGGGGACAAACCGTTGAAGGCACAGCGCAAGCACGGTCTGCACGTGCTACACAGTGACCGTGTTCATTCAATGACAAGATGCGCTACTCAGCAGATGTTAAACAGTTGATGTTGAATGTGTATGATTTCTTTAGAAGTGAAGCAGAAAGAGCAAACCCTTTTTATGCAATTAATAAATTCTTGAAACGAGCTTCAAAAGCTCTTGGTATGTCCCCTCAGAAACTTTAAAATGTTGTTAGTCGACGAGATACAAATAGTCAGGCCAAGGAGGTAGGGAACATGTCAAAACCACGCAAGGTTGATAAATTAGACAGTTTTCAGAGGGATCAAGTCAGGCGTGCAATTGTTAAACTGCACTCAGAAAATGCGTCCTGAGAGGTGATGAATTAAGATTTCTAGGATTCACATCGTTCACTGCACTCGCACATGTTTAGGTCACTGGGTAGCTGAGAATTCAAGAGTATGTTTGCACGTCATTTCCCAATGTAGTTTTACTGAAGCTCTTTTAAAGCCTTTTTGGCTGAATTTTGCTATGGTTCTCCCGATAGAAGTCGAAAATGAATTATATAGAAATATTTTGTTACAGCCGTAAAATGGTAATACACTACCGCCCCTTACACGCGTCAAGGACCATTTAGTTTATATCTATATTCTCAGCTCCTGTACCAGTATCACGAGTTTTTCCAAATGCCTTATGGATTAAATATATTTCAATTTAATCGTACACATTATCCAAAAATTAACATCAATACTTTTCTTTACTTGCTGTTTAAAAAAAATAAAAAATTGAGGTACATAGTTTGATGAGGAAGGATGGTTTTCCAATGTTTCACAAAGTTTGTTGCAATGTGCCATATACTATTTAAAAATGCATCCCTGTTCTTAACATCTTCTGGATCATGTTCCATACCTTGCATTCACGTGAATGTTTTTATTAAACATTATTTTGCCTGGCGTCTATATTGTTTCAAATGTACGCTGGGTTTTAGCATTTACAATATATCCATAAATTATATACCACAGAATGGCGACAGAAATCAGCCATTTCCTTGTTTTGCCTTAATTGTTAGAGTCATTATAATTATATTAAAGCTTGGTGTACGGATGTGGTGATTTCCAAAAGACTTAGAAATACAGGCTTAAGTTAATTTAAGGAAGAGAATTTATGGATGTCAACTTCTATATTATGAGGATACACAACGTTTTGGAGTATATGCTTACTCCTTCAGGTGAATGAATGCTATGAGGCAGAGAGCATATATATGTACATGTAAGGACAACAGAAGTAATAACAAGACAAAAGTTGGAAACTAACAAGGGAGGCCAACAGATAATTGCCGCTGATAAGTGATTAGCAAAAGACAGTGGAAGCGAACACTTTACAGTAATTAGCTCTGATGGATATGGACAACTGGAAGCCCGCCCTAAAATTCAGCGCATCAGAAAATTATTGCATTGATAAAAAAAACGTCACTATAAAGATCAAGTGTTATTTTTCTGAAGACAACATTTCTCTTTGAAAAATTCCATCTTCAACAGACAGGTCATTGTGGACTGACCATTCGAATTCATTCAGCAGATTTGTGTCTGTTATTGACATATCAAGAAAGCACAACTTTAAAGATTCTTGCAATGTTACACAACCTGCATCCGCTTCAAGTGGGGCATTGAGAAGAACAGGGGTGCGTATAACACCCACCCTCATCAGTGCTGAAGATCCCCCAGTAGCTTAAGCATCTGGAGGTAAAAAGAAGTTTTAAGATGTATACTCTCTCATTTCAAGTGTATAAATAACCGCAAATCTTTAAGAGTCTTCCGTAGTCCTGTGCACATCCCCTAAATGAATTCACTTCAGCTGACCACGAGGGCTTAACTGGAGAACTTGAGTGGGAAGAACGTCTGCTGGCCATGGACTGGCAGGCAGTATAGGAGTGACCTCCATCTATAGATGCTCATAAGGACGACGACTCCACACAGGGCTTTGACAAATAAGAAGATCTCCAAGTGCTGGAGTGACCTGACCCATCTCCTCATTTGCTTTTTCCTGTCCTTTGATTGTTTGATCTTTGTCTGTGAGGCCGAGTTTGACATGATTGTGTCATTCTGAGTAGTTTGATTAAATTCATCTAGCATCTGCTGATCCTCCTATGTCGGACTGGAGTTCGATATTAAGTCAGAATTTGGACCAGGTCAATTGGTCCACTCCATTTTTAATGTAACCAGCTTTAAAGAATATGGCAGATTTGAAAGTGGAAAAGTAAAGAGTCAGGTATTTGTTTTGATAATTGTGTGATCTTGTTTTCTCATGAAATGCTTGACAGCGATGACACACTGAAATTATTATTCATCAACAATTTCTTCTTCGCTCAAACAGCCTATTCTCTGATGACGAAACAACACTAGTTCAGTGTCCCAGCAGATTGACATATTGCTACCTTCGTGTACATTCCCCTAAAATTGAATCAGTCCAAAGCTTCCGATAGCGAAAGGATTTAAGTTCAAATGATTTCCATCAGCAGATGCAATTGCACTGAACTTAGGCCAAGAATATTTAACTACAGAAGAAACCTCTTCATTGGACAAATTCGAATCCAGATGTAGATCTTTAGTTTGCTAGATTGATTGATTGATTTGTTGTTTAACGCCACACTCCGCGCATTTTTGCTAGAACCTGAAGAGTTCTTTTAAAACATGGTGGGATAAAATAGTTCCCCATCCATCACCGAGTGCCAACAAGCACGATTTTGCAGTGGAGTCAGCCTGTAACGCCAGGGTGAGTGAGTGAGTGAGTTAAAATTGTACATAGCATCGGCAATATTGCAGCTATATCGCGATGAGAACAAGGTAGTTACTATAATTAAAGACCTGTCGACGAAGAACACTCAAACAGTCAGGTAAATATCACAGTTTAGAAATAAAACAAACCTAAGCAATTATAAAACAAAGAACTTTTAGTAGATAAGTTCCTATAAATTAAAACCAAGCTATAGACTACTAGCAGCCAAAGCTAGACCACCTAACTGGGAATCATGGGGACTTACAGTGCTTTTGCTTCCTGCATGATTCCCAGCAGGATTTATACCATCACTTTGGTCACCAGTGGTTGTATGTATTGCTAACCAATATTAAAAAATAGAAGCACAATCAATACTTTAAAACACTAGTTGATTTTATACACTTTAACATAGATGAACTCACATGCCACTGTCAGGGGGACAATAATTTTATACTACTTTAACCCCCTGAGTGGCACTGCCTTTAATAATCTCAGTTGTTAATAACAACACACTACTTTAAAACAATTCAAAATTCAAAATTTATCAAATAAATCTATTTCTTTTTAAAAAAATGAGCATTAAACGAGTATTTATATACACATGCACAAAAGTTAAGCGCCACCCACCATATGTGTGAGCTGTTACTTTTGGCACTTAATGATCACTATTTTAACGAAATGTACGATTGTTATAAGTCGTATATGTAAACCTCATGTGATGCAAAAGTTGTCCCAAAGCAAGTTTATTTTGTGTTCCAAGAGAATAAAAGCAGAAAGGAATTTTACCGAAGACCAGAAATTGAAGGATTAGAAAACATTGAAAAACTTTTTTGGTCATGTAACTGTCGTGATATCAGCAGACCATATCAGGTGTCACATAGACACCCTAGGGAGTGCAGAGTCTATTGCAAGACAGAAACGTCAGTAACGTGTGTATGATCCACGGACATTGACCACAGCTTCAACCCTACGCCTCATACTCATTACAAGTCGTTGAATGCTTCTCTGAGGCAAACAGATCCATTCTTCATGAAGTGCGGCTTCAAGTCCATCGAGATTTTGAACTGGGGGATCACGATGTCTGATTTTCCGGCCAAGAATGTCCCAGAGATGCTCAGTCGGATTAAGATCCGGACTACAGGCTGGCCAAGGAAGAGTGGCAATAGCTTCTTGACGCAAATAAGCCAAAACTGCCCGAGATCTCTGTGGTCTAGCATTGTCGTCTATGTAAACAGGTCTTGTCTGAAGAGGATGGTTGTCAAATGAGGGACTACCACTGGACGAAGAACGTCATCTTGGTATTGTTGGCCATTCAGGTTTCCACGAATTGTCACCAGCGTAAGTTTGCAGCCGAAGGAAACACAACCCCATATTATAACAGACCCCCCGCCACATGCTAAGGTCTCCTGGTTGTTCCTTGGTGCAAAACGAGTGTTACGTTGCCTCCAAACACGTATTCGACCATCAACAGTTCGTAGCAGCATTCGACACTCGTCAGACCAATGGATCCTTCTCCATTTGGCCAAGTTCCATCGACTACGGGCACGACTATATATCAAACGATTCCGCATGTGCCTCTCAGTCAGTTGAGGACGTTTTACTGGTCTTCTGGCGTTATAA